GACCGCCGCTCTACCTATTTAGCTATCGAGTCAACAGGGATTGGTAGCGAGTCTTATCCAATTTAAGTGCACGAAATATTTTCGTGACGACTTAACGCTTGTCTTTGAGGACGCGCAGTGTTTCAATTCTATTTCAGAACCATCCTCAGAGATAGGAAAACTAGTTTCATATTAATCTGACACTGCAATCGATTTGCCCGGATTTCGGATCTGGCGAATGTTTTACACGGATTTCGGATCTTATTAACACAGCGGATTGCGAATTTACCTAATATTTTGGCTCGGATCGCGGATTTTTCTTCAAATTTGGGCGGATCGGCGGATTTGTATACCCCTGTTCACCCCCGTTCATCCCCCCTCCCAATTATGTTTGTTATAGACTTAATGTATGTAATGCATGAGTCAATTCCAGGAGTAACAATCCAAATGGTAAAGAAGGCCAGTGGCCATGCAAGCAGGTGCGGTAGTAATTATCGGTCTTTCAAAGTTCCATAGAATTTGCATTTCGAAACACTTAGTTAAAAAACCATTCTAAAATTTATAGGACATGTTAAAATGGCCTTGTATATGTTCGAAGGTGTTTATTCTATACGCTGGCGAATTTTTACCGAGAACAAAGCAATTTAAGGGGTATTTTTCGAGTTGAAGTGTTCGTGTCGCCGTTTTGAGAACGGGAATCGTTAGCCTTCGGCCCTTCGCCTTCATTCTTATCACCTATGATGACAGTCGCATGCATAGAGTGTAAAGTCGTATTCTCCCACAACACAAATTGTTTTTGTGTGGATATACTGTGGTCAAACCGAACAGTGTGCTATCTCATTAATTGTGCACGGGATTGAAATTGAATTATATACTGCAATCATGACCTTCAAAACATTCTCTACTATTCAGTGGTCTAGTCGATATATGATCGACTCATTTCTACATTTGTGTATGTTACTCAATAGTTATCATTCCCAATTGTAAACAAAAAGTGACAGAACTTTTGCTTCGTATGATTACAATAAAGTTTTGAAAATTCAATGTGTATGGGATCGACAAGTGACAGTCACAGATTGCTAAATAGCCGGTTGCCGGCTGTATAGACATTTAAAAATTTTATTTCCTGACTGCATAATTATCTGTTACAATCACTAATCACATAATAAAATTAGTTAAATTTTCTCGGCAGCCGGGAGGGGGCAGTTGTCCCTGTTGCCTTCCGCACTGTGTACAACACTATTAGACGTGTATTGTGTTTGACTTTAAAATCTTATTTGCTATTATATTATAATAACTAATTAATTAAATATTTCAATTGTCCCATATTATCTTCATTATTCAGTTCCTTTCAAGAAAATACAAAATGTGAATCACGGTTTTTCGCAGATACATGTACGCGTCGCGTACCTATTTTTACATTTTTCATCATTTATATTTTGTGTGTTATACCCAGTGGTTATACCACACAGACATGGTATTTTAACAGCTAGATGTATCCGAATATCTGTGAAAACCGTAAAAACCCTGCAGAATTATTTGGAAACTAAAAAGTACATCTCCCATTGCTTCTATGCGTGAAATTATTAGGGACCTTAAGCATGTACGACGACAACGCTACGACGACAGCCAAAACAAACATCTCCAAATAAATTATTGTGAAGAAGAGTTGTTGTGTATTATTCACTGCATGTAATGTATATATGATAATTGAGTTCAGTCTGAAGAAATTAAAACAAAGGCTTTATTGTTAAAAACGCTTCTGCTGAGCAAATTTGTAGTTTCACTTGTCGCGTCTTGACATGTTTGCGTTGTACACGAGACGTGAAAATCTCTGATTTGCTGATGTAAAAAACACTAACACAACGTCTCTAACTCCCGTGAGGCTTTTAATTAATTTCTTTTTTTGTACAAGATCAGGAATTTCGTTGTGTAAATAGCCGTCGTCGTCGCGTTGCCGTCCTGTTTGCTTAAGGTTCCTATTTTAAAAGTTACGAAGTATTGAAAACAAAATCCAAAATATGTGTTGAACGGCAAACTACGGACGGCTGACAGCAAACCACGGTTTGCAGTTTACCGTCGAAGGAAAAATTAAAAGCTCTTCATTATATATTTAAAAACGCACGTTGGGTTGATAGACTTATGCATTCCGAAAATTGTTGAGCAATGCATGGGACACAAGGTGTTTGAATATAACATCACTGTCGTTTTGTGTTGATACTACTTTGTTGCATTGTCGTGGCACGATGGTTTGACATCCAATCACGAGTACCAGTGAGTAGTGAATTTGACTGCACATTGCAAATGAAGGAAACAGATTTTTAAGAATATAACCATCTGCAATAAACCCTTCATACAGGATCGTAGGCGGGAAGGCAAAGTTGATGGGCTAGTTTATCCCAGAATTCCACAATATTAAAAATGCAAAATCGTTTCTTACAGCTACATGATGATTATCGAGGTTTTTGTCACCTTGTTTCTCGTTTGGTTCATCTGGTATTTTATCAGTACCTACATAGAAAGAAAGAACATGCCTCCCGGACCGTCTCCATATCCCTTCCTTGGAAACATCCCACAAATCATCTCTGCAGATCCCGTCAGACCATTTAGTAAACTAGCTGAGAAATATGGAGACATTTACACAGTCACTTTTCCGAAAGCCAATGCTGTCATCTTCAATACAGCATCCCTAGTGCGTGAAGACAGGCTTGCCCCTGGGAGACAAGAAGTTCTTTTGGGCAAATCACCGGAGTCTTTCTATCCATTCGGGGAGATAATGGGTCATAATATGGCCGGATCTGACTACTCACTCGCATATCTTTTTGAGAGGAAAGTGTTCGTATCAGCAATGCATATTCATTACATAGTTTAATGCTGACTTTTCCAACACATGCAATATTCAAATTACGCAATTCAGCCGGCTGGCTGTTATGTAATTTTGCTTTTAATAAACTATCTATCTTTATCTAATGATGGCCATATTTGAACGATCCACTCAAATCCACTTTGGTTTGGCCATCTCCAAAATAGGGAACGGGGAAATGGGGGATTGGAAGGAGGAATGGGAAAGAGGAATATGAATGGGAATGGTATAAGTACTTTCTGAAAAAGCCAATTGCATGGGAGAATGTACTAAGAACCTATAAATTTGTCAGGCTTGTGCGCCGCAGTAATGACGAATGTAAAAGTTATTAGTTACTGCATGCATGTCAATCAATCAATCAATCAATCAATCAATCAATCAATCAAACAATCAATCAAAAACGTTATTTAAACACGGTGAAATCTACAGTATAACATTTTACAAGATAATTAACTAACATATAATTACAATTACGCTATGACAATTAATATACACTTATCCAAACACTAAAATACTGATTTACAAGATTGCCGTGCGGGAGTCAATCTCATATACAGAACAGATTGTCAATTTCTCTTTTGAATTGACTTAGGGAGCATGTTGTTCGAACATTTTGTGGTAACTCGTTCCATAAAACTGCCCCGCTATAAGAGAAACTTTGCTTACCGTAGTTCGTTCTTGGTTTTGGTATAAATAAGGTGTGTTCAGAGTTTCTTAAGTTATATCCTGTGCTGCGAGATTCAAACAATTCATGGAGATAGAACGGAGTTAGATCGTTAATTGTTTTAAACATTAGTATAGCCTTATGCTTTTTCCGACGTGTTAAAAGATTATCCCAGCCCAGCTTACTAAAATGGTCTCTGGAACTAGCATCATATTGAGATTTAGTGATGACCCTCGCTGTCCTATTTTGCAATTTTTGCAATTTGTCATTTAACGTGCATGATATTCAAACTATCCCAAACTGAGCTACAATAATCAAAGTGCGGTTGAATTAATGCTCCATAAATTTTCAGAGCAGTGTTTGTATCTTTAAATTGGCGTATCCGTTTAAGAGCTCCAATAGCTGATGCAATTTTTTTGGAAATATTTTCGACATGTCGTGCCCATGTAAGATGCTCATCGATTTGCAAGCCTAAGGATTTCGTTTCGTTGACTCTCTTAATAGTCTTTCCGTCGATTTCTATCCTTGCATGCATGTCTATCAACAAGCCCATTGAAAGAGCCAATGATATTGAAGATATGTTTTAGAGATGGTTCGGAAACTCCTTATTACAAATTTACTGTTTATATACAAGTAGTTCGCAATTGTACACATGCATACTTGGAAGGATTTCAACCAGTTCGGCCATAAACAGCAGAGTAAAGTGGAGAATTTGACCAAATACGTCCATTTGCAGGAGGTATGTACATTTCAAATTATTATTTCGGTGACAAAATATTAACTATTTCACACCAAAACAGTGATAATATAATTAAATAAGTACCAATTATGTTTCTATCAAAACGATTTAAAAAAAAAGGTAATGAAGATCCACTGCTGTTTATTTGAAGTTGTAAGCCACAAATTGACGTTTGACTATGAGTATTGCATGGTCATTTTCTTGTGAAGTATCAGTGCTAGGCATTTCACACTTACCAAGGACCACCCCTAAAACCACCATCTCTGAACCATATAAACACCTCAGAATAGCCAAAGCTTTTATGGTTTGGTAGATAGCACTATGGCGAAGGCGTCGTTTTTGGGTGTGGTCAGTTTCGGACGTTTCGTCCCTAATTGGGGTTCGGGCAGCATTACCATGTTGACCGTCATGGTCGACTTGCCCTAAAACAGTTGAGATTATCTGTCCTAAATGAAATGCATACAAACTCATATACAGGTCCTAGACTATATTGAATTTATCAATGGCGAAACCACGATAATTAAATGTTTACAATGTTTACAATTTGTTTAAATATTTCAGTAAATCCGAATATTACATCGAATAGCTTCGGTAACGGCGTGATAAATATAAAGTGATTTCCTGCGTCAGTTGTGAGATTTACGAAAACACCCTTCTTTTCGTTTATTACAGACTGAAAAGCCTTTTTGTTTAAAACTTTCAAATTTACTGTAAAAATACTACAGACTTGTTGATAACAGCCCATGCATGTGAAGGTCATTGAAGATCGATCTTCCAATTATTGTGTAGATGATTGTGTTTGGTTAATTGCCCAATCTCGAAACCAGAGCCCGCAATCCTCTGTGGAGGCTTGCTGAGGCTCTGGGAAACACCGGCGACTTTTGCACGAAAATCAATACAGTTGGATCCAGTACTCCGCTCGACATTTATAAATAGACATTACTGCCATCAAACATGAATTATGTAGCCTGCGTAACGGCTCAGAGAAAGTAGAGCCTGCACGAAACCCCATGTTTTGCCATTTCCGCCCACTTAGCCTGCGGTCTACGCCCACTTTAAACAGATGTCAAAATTGGCCAATCACACAGATTGCAAATTTACTTATCAAAATGAAATATAAATATAGATTGCTGTATGTTCGCAAATTTCAAAACAAAATACTGTAATATACGGATGGCGGCTAAAGAAAATTGAAGTCTGTGGGAATAGCGCTAGGCCTAGGGCAATCTCCATTGTTGTCACAAGTAGTTTGCAGTCCGTATCTACGATATTTCGTAGCTTTCTTGCACACGTACAAATAGAATTTATAATTTCGACAGCGGTCAACCGTGATGTATTAAATGTTAAAGTTTCGAGCGATGCTGATAAGAGAATATTAAAGGTGTTTAAAGCCATCACTTCACAGAGAGCAAGTCCTGTTCATAAGACATAAGCATTTATAGCAATTCTCTCCTGGCACAAAATTATTAGCTACAAAATCATGAAGAAAAACTCTATTTGTCGTCGATGAATTTATGAAAACGAACACGCTCGTGAGTTGTGAAAGAGGCGCTGCTAACAGACAGCAATCCAACGAAGACACCACAGTCAATATCTCTAGAGCTTCGCGAACCAAGTTCGTAAATAACTTTAATGTTCAACCGTACTACGTAAATCGTGGCTTTTAAGTTCTTTTGAATGCAAAACGCAAAGAAACGCCTCTCAATAATACATCCGCCGTGTTTGTATCAATTTTAGCATAAATTAGCATATTTTTTTTCATTTTGAACCAATCAGATTTCTCGTCCTCTGAAAGAACGAGTAAATACGGCAAAGCAGGGGGTTTCGTGCAGGCTCTACTTTCTCTGAGCCGTTACGCAGGCTATGAATTATGCCGTTGTTTAAGCTTAATACGATTTTAATTCTTCAAAGAACACTTGCCATGGTTTTGAATTGTTGTAAGATACTGGTAGTGATTTATTTTAACTTGTTTAATTACGGTAAATCGTGGATTATTGTGTTATTTTAAATATTATAGGCAACGGCTTATCATGACTTTAAATGGTAATGCTGCACTGTTGTTATTCTACATTTTGTTATTACTTATTGGCATAAATTAGTTATTTTGCATGTAATTAGGTAATTGTCTTTGAAAAGCCTCTACGGAGAAAGATAATAAAGTATCAATCAATCAATCAATCAATCAATCAAAGTTACGCTGTGTGTTTCTTTGATATGTTTAAACATAATACACAAAGAGAAATAACGATCTTTAAATCACTAAATACGGCTCACAGTTTGAATAATAATTAGCACTTGAAAAACAATCAATCAGAGGCCGACTTTCGCTGGTGTTTCCCAGAGCCTCAGCAAGTCTCCTCAGAGGATTGCAGGCTCTGGTTTAGAGATTGTTAATTGCCGAGAAGTCAAATGTATAGCGAATGTGAGCAGACGTTAGGTGGGGCCTCGGCCAGTAACAACTTCTGCGCAGGAGGCTATCTATTACGAGATGCTCTATCCAGTCTTAGTGTATATCAGTGTCTTTACCCACGTGCATAAAAAATAATAACAATTTTAGGATACTGAAACTGAGCATGATATTTAACAATTTATATTCACAGAAGGTGAAGAGTGCAAGGATATTCATCCAGCTGTGCAGCGGTAAGGTGAATATCCTTGCACTATATATTCACCCACACTGAGCGAATAATTGTTTTAGCACAGGGTATATTTTAACGTGCAGTTCTACACAAAATGTGCAGTTCTAAACCCATTTGTGCAGTTCTTAAAACTCAAATGTGCAGTCACCAAATTAACCGAAAAATATAACCTCAAACAAGTCTTCTCATTTACTCGTTTTCCTTGTGGATGCCCCAGATGCCAGAAATATCATTGTCAGAATGTCATTGAGCATCAAAAATCTCAATGTTTTCTGGAAGAGGACCACCAGTCCCTCATATTTTCCTTACAAATCACATACGTGCTGGGGGTAATGGAACAGGAGGTAAAATTGGTGCGAGCGAAGCTATCCAAAAGAAATTAGAGTGGGAGAACCTAATATTCTTTGCTGCCTAAGGTTATTATATATTGAGTATTCATGATTCCCAGTTACATGTTTTGAAACAGTTTTTATGGGTGGTTGGGTGAAACAAATCTTTGCCAGAACTTACGAGCCTCTAAAATCAAAAGTTGGGGGGACACTCCCTACCTGTGGCTCCCCCACCCAGAATCGAGTTTGTCTGGCCCCACCCAACCACAACTTTTTTACCACCTATATACAAATTAAGAGTCTATATAATTTACAACATTAACTATAAATTTACAACGTTAAATATAGATAAAAATCCTTTGACCCCCAGTCAAACACGTGATGCTTCGTAGAATCCTTATTAAATATGTGCAGTTCCAAATTTTTCTTAAAATAAACCCTGTTTTAGCATATACCACAAATTTTGTATTTATAGCTAAAAATGTTGCAAACAAAACAGTATTTATTAACCTATTGAGTTGCATTGGACCCAGATGCGCCCTACTTTATTATTTTACTCTGTCTAACGCTAGACGATTTTACTTGTCAAGGCGTTTAATGGGTTAAATGAAGCTGCAGTTCCATGAAACACCAAAATT